AATAGCAGAAGACAAACTAGACCACTAGGACTTCCTAAAAAGTAAACATTTATGTGCATCAAAAGATTCTGTCAAAAGAGTAAAAAGAAAAAATTTTTGGCAATGATGTATTTTGGCAACGATGTATCAGATAAGGGACTAATCTCCAAAATTTATAGAAAACTTAACACCTCAACAAAAGACAAGCAATCCAATTTGAAAAAGGGCAGAGGACATGCACAGACACATTACCAAAGAAGACATTCAGGTGGTCAACAAACACAACAAGGAAAGGGTGGAACAGTGCTTAAGGCATTAGACTGCTAACCAGGAGGTTGGTGGTTCAAATCCACCAGCCACTCCATGAAAGGAAGACTGGGCAATCTACTTCCGTAAAGATTTACTGCCTCAGAAACCCATTGGGGGTGGCTATGAGTTGGAATCAACTCAATGGCAGTGGGTTTGGTTTTTGTTTGGTTTTAAATCAAAACAACAAGGTATTATCTGATTTCAGCATTAATAGCAAAGTTAAATAAATAAATAAATAAATAAATGCTGGGGAGGGTATGGAGAGACTGGAACACTTATACACTGCTGGTGGAATTGTAAATGGTAAAACGACTGTGCAAAGAGATACGGCGCTTCTCTAAGAAATTAGAAATAGAAATCTCATATAATCCAGTAATCCCACTACTAAGAATATATCTGAGAGAAAAAGAGTCATGATACAAACAGATATATGCATGTGCATGTTCACTGTAGCATTATTCACAATAGCAAAGAAAGATGGAAACAACCTAAGTGCCCATCAACAGATGAATGTATAAACAAACCATGGTACATACATACAATGGAATACTATGTGACAGTAAAGAATAACAATAAATCTGCAAAACACCTAATACCATGAATGAACCTAGAGGATGTTATGCTGAGTGAAATTAGTCAATCACAAAAGGACAAGTATTATATGACACCACTACTGTAAAAAGTTAAGAAAAGGTTTACACAAAGAAAGAATCGTTCTTTGAAAGTTATCAGTGGTGGGTGGGGACAATCACCAACAAGAAGGTAAACATGTATGAACTTTGGTGAAGGGAAAGGCAATATACAATAAGGGGGAGGTCAGCACAAAACAATCAAGGCAGTGAAAGAGATAGGGAAGAACACAGAGTTAAAGGCAACAAAGGTGAATACTATTACATATACAATCCTGTAATAATAGTATTAACAATAATTTACAAGTGGATGCATAGACACGAAGCTGAATGGGCGGGAAAGTGAATGGGACTATACCCACAAATACATATAGGTTTGACACAGGCTCTCTCTACCTATATATTTATATGTGATGCATATATATATATAAATATAGTAGAGTA